TATCGTAGTGACACAAAATTATCCTATGTATTAGTCCAAGACAGCTTCCGTTAGAGTCATTTAACAAGTGGGACTAAACATAAGAACTGATAAATTATTATTGTTTGAAGTAATTGTTTTATGGACTAAAATTGAATTATATGATATTTACAGGGACACCTAACATGTTTATCTAAAAAATTAATATTTATTTTTAAAAACTGTATTTTTATATCTAAAACGATTTTAAATTGAAAGTCAATATAAATTTTAAAATTAGTTTAGAAATCCATATTCAATTATAAAATTTAATTATGAATTACAAAATCACTTATATGAATTGGATATAAATTGGTTATTAAAATAATCATGTAATACTTAATTTTATACACTATTTTACCAAGATTTTATGATTCAATTATAATCAAAATACTTTACCAATAGACTTTTATTGTTTTTAAGCTTCTAATATAATTTTATATTGTTAAATTTCTATGTCTAGTACATATGTTCATGATAATTAATACTATGATACTGTTTTTTCTGAAATTTTTTACCATAATTCTTTCTAGTAAAAAGAATATATATGAAAATGCAATTCACCTCTTCTCACCATAGTATGAAAGTTATTACTATTTCTTATTATCGGGGAGAATAACGTAAATTACAATCCAATAACTATTTCTGGGCTGTATGTATATTGAGTTTGGGCCTCAGGAGCAATCAAGTTGATTGGGCCAAGACCAGGCCCATTTACATTGAAAACTTATTAACGGACAATAAAACGAAAACGCTAGAAGGAGGGGTTGAACCTCCGACCTTGTGGTTAACAGCCACACGCTCTAACCAACTGAGCTATTCCAGCTTCTTGTTGGGTAAAGCAATTTAATATACTTTATTATGTGCAAAAGAGACATAAGTTATACAATAAAGCCTATTCCAGCTTCTTGTTGGTCAGAATAATTCAATGTATTGAAATTGTTATTATTTGTGAAAGAGACATAAATTATACAATAAAGCCAGGTGAGAGTAATGTAATTCATAAATCACTGCATTCTTTTGAATAAGAGAAATACCTCTTAGAAAAATTGGTATTATATTTGTGAGTGACTACTCACGGTACCTGAGATATGCAATTAGCCAAAAAGTTTTTTATGTGATATTAAAGTGAAAGATAAATACAATGTAAATATCATTAATTATGATTGGAATTTTAAAGCAAATTTAAATAATTCGTCACAAAAATTTAAGGTGCACTCTTCCTTTTTTTTTCTCACATGGCCTTTGATTTATAAGATAAGACTGAATTTTTACTAATGAAGCTAACATCATTATTTATGTGCTACATCTTTCATGGCCTTTGTAATTAGTCTAAGTAGTGATTAAAGATGATATCTTTGAGAGTGTTGTATGTATGAATATATGTCAATTGTATATAGGTAAAATTGTATCAGAAGTTCTTTAAATTATTTATTGTAATAGGTGATTTTTAAAGTTTTTTTTAACAACGGAATCATTTAAGTTAACTAGCGTGTATTTATTAAAAAAAATTTATAAATTTCGTTCCAAAAATAATTACGTGACATCATGGACAGATTCAGAAATTTTGATCAGTGGGGGCAAAATGTATATACTATTACAAATATTTATATAAAAAATATATCAATCTGAAACCATATATCATTGTGTAAAAAAGTTAAAACTATCAAAACTTTATTATTCTATATTAAAAAAAATCAAAGATACTTGAACATATAATTTTTTATTATAAATAATTCTATTTTGAAATTATTGAATAATTTTTCTTTTGTTTTTATTTTTAATATCTAACAAAACAACCGTTTAATTATTTAAGAATATTTAATTCTTAAAATACACAAATACCTATTTTTTTAGCGGGGGCATTACTTGTGTTTCATCATGTGAAAAATAAATATTTTAAATTAATTTATAATAGCATAAATAATTTAGTGGGGACAGTTGCTCCCAATAACATGGATGTAGATCCGTGCCTGCACACGAGGCGCAGAAAAAATTGGCTTCACAAACATTTGATGCAGTTAGATATCTATCACTAACTGTTAGTTGAATAATGTAGGTCTTATTTTTCCAATTCATTTTTTTTGACAAAAATCATGTGGTTGTTAACATAAAACCGTTATTTAAATGATGATGGTCACACCACATATTGCTGATAAACAACCCTAAAACCATCTCATTTGAAGTCACATGCAGAAAGAAAATGCAATAAGTATGGCACTAATATAGGTTAGAGTTAGACATTCATATTTCATGGTGAGGTCCAGACAGAACGGATTCAGAAATCTTGAACAGTTGGGGCAAAATATATATATACTAATATAAATATTTATATAAAAAATATATCAAAGTGAAACCATATATCATTGTGTAAAAAAGTTAAAATTATCAAAATTTTATTATTCTATATTAAAAAAAATCAAAGATATTTAAACATATAATTTTTTATTATAAATAATTCTATTTTGAAATTATTGAATAATTTTTCTTTTGTTTTTATTTTTAATATCTAACAAAACAACCGTTTAATTATTTAAGAATATTTAATTCTTAAAATACACAAATACTGGTTTTTTAGTGGGGACATTACTTGTGTTTCATCATGTAAAGTAAATATTTTAAATTAATTTATAATAATATAAATAATTTAGTGAGGACAGTTGCCCCCAATACCATAAATGTAGATCTGTGCCTGTGTGACATTCATGTTAAGTAGTGACACTAATAGTGGGCATAATTGAAAAAATAAAGGCACTATATGTTCTCGTTCTCGGTGCTCCAGTCAAGGTCAATTCTCTACTTGTCTTCACCTTCGGACATCAAGAAAGCCAAACTGACTCGCTGGTGACAATGAAATTAACCAAATTTACCTGATGTAGAGGCAATCAAGAAAGGGCATAAGTAAATATATAACCTTCCAAGAAAGGGTATACGTCGGAATTAGATTAATCTGAATGACAGAAAAATAGAACAAAGAATACAATAAAAGAAATCAATGTAAAATAGAAAGTAAAAATAGTAAAATAGAAAGTAAAAATAGGATCCTCTAGTAGTTTTCTAGACATACAAATTCGAATAATATAGAAAACTATTTTTTTTTTTAATTTCACGAACAAGATTCAAAAAGAATCTTATTTGATAAAAGCAGAGTAGTATGTCTGGGGATCCGCTGGTAACGAGAGTAATAAAAGCGATCGATCATTTGTTTTTGGAATAGTTCTTTAAAAAATGTATTTCTAGGATTTATGAGTCATAAGACAATTTTCGAGTCATGACTTAGGGAATTTTGTTAGAATAGAAAGGAATAAGCCAATTAATTAAGTTAATGGATTTATTAGATATCAATGGACAAAAAAAAATTTTCTATTCGAACCCCAGTAGAAAAGAAGGGACCGTCTACGAGAAATCATATTCTATATAAAATGAAAAAAGCCTCGAAGGTTCCATCGCTGAAAATCCTAGGAGGTGTTCGGAAATGGTTTGAAGTAGTTGAATAGGAGGATTACTATGACTATAGCTCTTGGTAAATTTACCAAAGATCAAAATGATTTATTTGATATTATGGATGACTGGTTACGGAGGGACCGTTTTGTTTTTGTGGGTTGGTCCGGTCTATTGCTCTTTCCTTGCGCCTATTTTGCCGTGGGGGGTTGGTTCACAGGTACCACCTTTGTAACTTCATGGTATACTCATGAATTGGCAAATTCCTATTTGGAAGGTTGTAACTTCTTAACTGCAGCAGTCTCTACTCCTGCTAATAGTTTAGCACACTCTTTGTTGTTACTGTGGGGTCCTGAAGCACAGGGAGATTTGACCCGTTGGTGTCAATTAGGTGGTCTGTGGACTTTTGTTGCTCTTCACGGTGCTTTCGGATTAATAGGTTTTATGTTACGTCAATTTGAACTTGCTCGATCTGTTCAATTGCGGCCTTATAATGCAATCGCATTCTCCGGTCCAATTGCTGTTTTTGTTTCTGTATTCCTGATTTATCCACTGGGCCAGTCTGGTTGGTTCTTTGCGCCTAGTTTTGGTGTAGCAGCTATATTTCGATTCATTCTCTTTTTCCAAGGGTTTCATAATTGGACATTAAACCCATTTCATATGATGGGAGTTGCTGGTGTATTGGGCGCTGCCCTACTATGCGCTATTCATGGCGCTACCGTAGAAAATACCTTATTTGAAGATGGTGATGGCGCAAATACATTCCGTGCTTTTAACCCAACCCAAGCAGAAGAAACTTATTCAATGGTTACTGCTAACCGCTTTTGGTCCCAAATCTTTGGGGTTGCTTTTTCCAATAAACATTGGTTACATTTCTTTATGTTATTTGTACCAGTAACTGGTTTATGGATGAGTGCTCTTGGAGTAGTCGGTCTGGCCCTGAACCTACGTGCCTATGACTTTGTTTCTCAAGAAATCTGCGCAGCGGAAGATCCTGAATTTGAGAATTTCTACACCAAAAATATTCTCTTAAACGAAGGTATTCGTGCGTGGATGGCGGCTCAAGATCAGCCTCATGAAAACCTTATATTCCCTGAGGAGGTTCTACCACGTGGAAACGCTCTTTAATGGAACTTTACCTTTAACTGGTCGTGACCAAGAAACGACTGGTTTTGCTTGGTGGGCCGGGAATGCCCGACTTATCAATTTATCCGGTAAACTACTGGGGGCCCATGTAGCCCATGCCAGATTAATAGTATTCTGGGCCGGAGCAATGAACCTATTTGAAGTTGCTCATTTCGTACCCGAGAAGCCCATGTATGAACAAGGCTTAATTTCACTTCCCCATCTAGGATTCACCAAAATTATATAAATGATTACCTCCTATTTTTTCTAATCGAGCCTGTCGATCGGTGATTATACCCCTAGAAGTAGAAAGAATTACAATCCCTATTCCTCCCAAAACTTTTGGGATTTTGGGATAGTTAGAATATATTCGTAGACCGGGCGTACTAATCTGTTTAAAATCTATTAACCTAGCTATGTTAGGCTCTTTGACCATTATTGTAGCTCACCATATGTATGCTATGCCTCCTTATCCATACCTAGCTACTGATTATGGTACACAACTGTCATTGTTCACACATCACATGTGGATTGGGGGCTTTCTCATAGTTGGTGCTGCTGCACATGCAACCATTTTTATGGTAAGAGACTATGATCCAACTACTCGATACAACAATCTATTAGATCGTGTTCTTAGACAGCGTGATGCAATCATATCACATCTCAACTGGGTGTGTATATTTTTAGGTTTTCACAGTTTTGGGTTGTATATTCATAATGATACCATGAGTGCTTTAGGGCGCCCTCAAGATATGTTTTCAGATACCGCTATACAATTACAACCTGTCTTTGCTCAATGGATACAAAATACCCATGCTTTAGCACCTGGCACAACAGCCCCTGGTGCAACAACAAGCACCAGTTTGACTTGGGGCGGTGGTGATTTAGTGGCAGTGGGCGGCAAAGTAGCTTTGTTACCTATTCCATTAGGAACCGCAGATTTTTTGGTACATCATATTCATGCATTTACAATTCATGTGACGGTATTGATACTCCTAAAAGGTGTTCTATTTGCTCGTAGCTCACACTTGATATCGGATAAAGCAAATCTTGGTTTTCGGTTCCCTTGTGATGGCCCGGGAAGAGGGGGGACATGCCAAGTATCCGCTTGGGATCATGTCTTCCTAGGATTATTTTGGATGTACAATGCAATTTCTGTAGTAATATTCCATTTCAGTTGGAAAATGCAATCAGATGTTTGGGGAAGTATAAATGATCAAGGAGTAATAACTCATATCACAGGAGGAAACTTTGCGCAGAGTTCGATTACCATTAATGGGTGGCTTTGCGATTTCTTATGGGCGCAGGCATCCCAGGTAATTCAGTCTTATGGTTCCTCATTATCTGCATATGGTCTTTTTTTCTTAGGCGCCCATTTTGTATGGGCTTTTAGTTTAATGTTTCTATTCAGCGGGCGTGGTTATTGGCAAGAACTTATTGAATCCATCGTTTGGGCTCATAATAAATTAAAAGTTGCTCCTGCTACTCAGCCTAGAGCCTTAAGCATTGTACAGGGACGTGCTGTAGGAGTAACACATTACCTTCTGGGTGGAATTGCCACAACGTGGGCATTCTTCTTAGCAAGAATTATTGCAGTAGGATAATGGCTAGGAGGATTTGAAAAGCATTATGGCATTAAGATTTCCAAGGTTTAGCCAAGGCTTAGTTCAGGACCCCACTACTCGTCGTATTTGGTTTGGTATTGCTACCGCACATGACTTCGAGAGTCATGATGATATTACTGAGGAACGTCTTTATCAGAATATTTTTGCTTCTCATTTCGGACAATTAGCAATCATTTTTCTGTGGACTTCCGGGAATCTCTTCCATGTAGCTTGGCAAGGAAATTTTGAGGCATGGGTACAGGATCCTTTACATGTAAGACCTATTGCTCATGCAATTTGGGATCCCCATTTTGGTCAACCGACTGTAAAAGCTTTTACGCGAGGGGGTGCGCTTGGCCCAGTGAATATTGCCTATTCCGGTGTTTATCAGTGGTGGTATACAATTGGTTTACGTACTAATGAGGATCTTTATACTGGAGCTATTTTTCTATTATTTCTTTCTTTCATATCCTTATTAGCGGGCTGGTTACACTTACAACCGAAATGGAAACCGAGCGTTTCGTGGTTTAAAAATGCCGAATCCCGCCTCAATCATCATTTGTCAGGACTATTTGGAGTCAGTTCCTTAGCTTGGGCAGGGCATTTAGTCCATGTGGCTATTCCAGGATCCAGAGGAGAATATGTTCGATGGAATAATTTCTTAAGTGTATTGCCTCATCCTCAAGGATTAGGGCCATTTTTTACAGGTCAGTGGAATCTTTATGCTCAAAACCCCGATTCTAGTAATCATTTATTTAGTACTTCGCAAGGCGCGAGAACTGCCATTCTAACACTTCTCGGGGGATTCCATCCTCAAACGCAAAGTTTATGGCTTACCGATATGGCCCATCATCATTTAGCTATTGCAATTCTTTTTCTAATTGCTGGTCATATGTATAGAACTAACTTCGGTATTGGGCACAGTATAAAAGATATTTTAGAAGCGCATATTCCTCCGGGGGGTAGATTGGGGCGTGGACATAAGGGTCTTTATGACACAATCAATAATTCAATTCATTTTCAATTAGGCCTTGCTCTAGCCTCGTTAGGGGTCATTACTTCTTTGGTAGCTCAACACATGTATTCGTTACCTGCTTATGCGTTTATAGCACAAGACTTTACTACTCAAGCTGCGTTATATACTCATCATCAATACATTGCAGGATTTATTATGACGGGGGCTTTTGCTCATGGAGCTATCTTTTTTATTAGAGATTACAATCCCGAACAGAATAAGGATAATGTATTGGCAAGAATGTTAGAGCACAAAGAAGCTATCATATCCCATTTAAGTTGGGCCAGCCTATTTCTGGGGTTCCATACTTTGGGACTTTATGTCCATAATGATGTCATGCTTGCTTTTGGCACTCCGGAGAAACAAATCTTGATCGAACCCATATTTTCCCAATGGATACAATCTGCTCACGGTAAAACTTCATATGGTTTCGATGTACTTTTATCTTCAACGAATAGTCCGGCGCTCAATGCGGGGCGAAGCATATGGTTGCCAGGTTGGTTAAATGCTATTAATGAGAATCGTAATTCTCTATTCTTAACAATCGGGCCTGGAGACTTCTTGGTTCATCATGCTATTTCTCTTGGTTTACATACAACTATATTGGTCTTAGTAAAAGGTGGTTTAGATGCACGTGGTTCCAAGTTAATGCCGGATAAAAAGGATTTTGGTTATAGTTTTCCTTGCGACGGTCCGAGACGAGGTGGTACTTGTGATATTTCTGCTTGGGACGCATTTTATTTGGCAGTTTTCTGGATGTTAAATACCATTGGATGGGTTACTTTTTATTGGCATTGGAAGCACATTACATTATGGCAAGGTAATGTTTCACAATTTAATGAATCTTCAACCTATTTGATGGGATGGTTAAGAGATTATCTATGGTTAAATTCTTCACAACTTATCAATGGATATAACCCCTTTGGTATGAATAGTTTATTAGTCTGGGCGTGGATGTTCTTATTTGGACATCTTGTTTGGGCTACTGGATTTATGTTCTTAATCTCATGGCGCGGATATTGGCAGGAATTGATTGAAACTTTAGCATGGGCTCATGAACGCACACCTTTGGCGAATTTGATTCGATGGAGAGATAAACCTATGGCTCTTTCGATTGTCCAAGCAAGATTGGTTGGATTAGTCCACTTTTCGGTAGGTTATATATTTACTTATGCAGCTTTCTTGATTGCCTCTACATCAGGTAAATTTGGTTAATTTCATTCTTTATTGTATCTCCAAAAATTGAATCTCTTTGTATGAAGAAGGTGCTTCTTCTATTTCTACATCTAGGATTCGACTTATTTCTATCATTGATACTAATAGGAAATGAATCATCATCATAATGGCAAAGAAAAGTAGCATTGCCAGGGAGAAGAAGAGGCAAAAATTGGAAAAAAATATCATTTGATTCGACGATCTCCAAAAAACGAAATGAGCAAAGCTCAGTCGTTAAGTGAGAAATGGGAAATTAAGGCAAAGTTCGAAGCACTACCGCGTAATAGTGCACCTACACGTCTTCATCTACGTTGTTTTGCGACTGTAAGATCACGAGGTAATTATCGACACTTTGGATTATCTAGACACGCACTTCGTGAAATGGTTCACCAATGTTTGTTGCCCGGTGCAACAAGATCGAGTTAGTAAGAATAAAAAATTCTCTTCATTTTTTTATTCTTTTTGATGATCTGCGATCATAGGACGGCCCCTTGACCATTCCGTATAAATGGTTTATTCTATTTGTACAGATATGGTGGAGGGGCGGCAGGAAAATTCAATCTCTGTTTTCCATTAATTGTCAATTGTTCTTCTTATGGCATGGCGGAGTGGAGCAACTTGGTAGCTCGCAAGGCTCATAACCTTGAGGTTACGGGTTCAAATCCTGTCTCCGCACCATTTTGGATAAAAATGGAAATTCACTTATATATATATTTGATAATATAAAGAAATATACTATTCAATACACAAGTAACGGCGGATAGCGGGAATTGAACCCGCGTCTTCTCCTTGGCAAAGAGAAATTATACCATTCAACTATATCCACATTTTTTTATTCTAATTGATACTTTCTATATCAATTCGATTTGTGCAGAGCTGTGTTTGATATCTATTAGGAGTGATCAATAAAAAAGTCGAAATATATATATATATATATATATATATATATATATATATATATATATATATATATATATATATATATATATATATATATATATATATATATATATATATATATATATATATATATATATATATATATATATATATATATATATATATATATATATATATATATATATCTTATCTTTAATCAATTTCTCTATGTATGTATTAGATAAAGGATACATACATAGAGAAATTGATTTATCCAAAAGATTTGACTTCAATTGAAATTGGGTTAGTGATGAAGTCGGAGGGTTTCCTCGAAGCATCCATGGCTGAGTGGTTAAAGCACCCAACTCATAATTGGCGAAGTCGTGGGTTCAATTCCTACTGGATGCATCCCCATAGAAATATCCCCCACTCGATTTTTGTTACAGAATGAAATTTGTAAATACAACTACATGATTATCTGAATTATATTGACTATATTCATTCTTTATCTTCTTTTCAAAAAAAAAAAACGATTGGATCCGTATCAATATCAATGGAATCTCATCATCCATCAATAACAAAGGTGTGGTCGATTCAATCCAATTATGTTAGAATAGTTATAATAACATTTGATCTGTATCAATGGACGATGAACTCCCAAGAAACGGTTGTTTTTGGAATAGTTCTCAATGGACTATGGCTATACGGACTCGAACCATAGACCTTCTCGGTAAAACGGATCAAACTATTATTATTATCAAAATGATTTGAATTGTTTTAAAGACCCAACGTGCATTTTTTTTTGCATTGGGCTTTTTCATTAACTGATAGAAATATCAATTAGTCTACCATCTTTTTTCTTTACACAAAGAAAAAGGAAATGACTCCCTGTGCTCTGATTTCTTATTTAGATCAAAATCTAAGAGCACTACCAAAGTTTTTCAAAGAAGAAGGTTATTCTGACGTAGGTCTGCTTCTGGCCTGGATCAACTTAAGTTAAATGGACTCTCTATCAACCTACTTCAATAAAAATATCAAATAGGAAATGAAACTTCATACACCTTAAAGTTCATAAGATAGGAAGAAAAGATATTTTTTTGGAGGTCCCTAGCCTCATTGCCTAGCATTGAATAGATTTTAGTATTCACCTTATCAATATCTCATTATGGATTCCATTTGACGTCTAAATCCTTTGTCAGGCTATTGTTCTCTTAATTTTCTTTCTGGAGTAAGACATTGATTTATCAATTAATATCAACTCTTTTAATTACATGATGGACTCCTATGAAAAAACATTGGCGCATGTGTAAACGAGGTGCTCTACCTATCTGAGCTATAGCCCTTGTGCTTTTGATACAGATTTGATCATATTCGATAAATAAATTCTTGTCAAGATAAATATTAAATTACATGATCCAATCTCTTTGATTTATATTGCGTTTGTATTATTTATAAATAATATAACATTTATAATCCATTGATATGATCGAGAGCTACTTTTTTTATTTAGGATGATAAATGACCTACTTAACTCAGTGGTTAGAGTATTGCTTTCATACGGCAGAAGTCATTGGTTCAAATCCAATAGTAGGTAAGGTGTTGGTAGAACTTAGTAGATACCATTGATTCCGGTATCTAATAAGTTTTTCTACTCACCATTTTTTTTAATTGTAATTTTCTATCTTTTTTCTATTTTTTGGCTGCACCAACTTGTTACGAGATCCTCTTGATAGGCTCTACGATAGCCTCGACTCGTGTCTTAGCTCGCCGGAGAGCTAGATTTGCTTCAATTGTTTGTCTCTTGCCTTCAGCCTTATTTAAGTTAGCTTCTGCTATTTTAAGAGTTTGTTGTGCTTCTTGTGGATTAATGTCACTAGCCCTTTCTGCATCAGGTACTAAAATAGTGATCTCATTATTGCCGATTCTAGCAAAACCACCCATCAGAGCCATCGTTAACCATCGGTCCTTAAGGCGTATTCTCAAAATACCTATATCTAAAGCTGTGGCAATAGGCACATGATTTTTTAATACCCCAATTTGTCCACTATTAGTAGATAAAATAATTTCTTTCACTTCTGAATCCCAAACAATTCGATTGGGGGTTAGTACACAAAGATGGAAAGTCATTTCTTGAATTTGTTCTCCATTTCTAAGTTAAGTTCGTAGCCTTCGCAGTAGCTTCATCGATATTACCCATCAAATAAAAGGCTTGTTCAGGAAGACTATCTAATTCTCCAGAAAGAATCAATTGAAATCCTCTAATTGTTTCTGCGAGACCAACATATTTCCCTGGGGAACCAGTAAATACTTCTGCTACGAAAAAAGGTTGTGATAAGAAACGTTCCATTTTTCATGCTCTTGCTACGGTTAAGCGATCCTCTTCGGATACTTCGTCCAACCCAAGAATAGATATCATGTCCTGAAGTTCTTTGTAACGTTGTAACGTTTGTTTAACTCTTTGCGCAGTTTCATAATGTTCTTCACCGACGGTCCGAGGTTGGAGCATGGTGGACGTTGAATCTAAAGGATCTACTGCTGGATAGATACCTTTGGCAGCTAATCCTCTTGATAGTACAGTAGTTGCATCCAAATGTGCAAATGTCGTGGCAGGAGCAGGATCGGTCAAATCGTCTGCAGGTACATAAACTGCTTGAATAGAAGTTATTGACCCTTCTTTGGTAGAAGTAATTCTTTCTTGTAAAGTACCCATTTCAGTACCCAGGGTCGGTTGATAACCCACAGCGGAAGGCATTCGACCCAATAAGGCCGATACTTCGGATCCGGCTTGGACAAAACGGAAGATATTGTCGATAAATAGAAGGACGTCCTACTCATTGACATCTCGGAAATATTCTGCCATAGTTAGGGCAGTTAAACCAACTCTCATACGAGCTCCGGGGGGTTCATTCATTTGACCATAGACTAAAGCGACTTTTGATTCCGCAATATTTTTTTCATTAATTACTCCGGATTCTTTCATTTCCATATAAAGATCATTTCCCTCACGAGTACGCTCACCTACTCCGCCAAATACAGATACACCTCCATGAGCTTTGGCAATGTTATTGATCAATTCCATAATGAGTACTGTTTTACCTACCCCAGCTCCACAGAAAAGTCCTATTTTTCCGCCACGGCGATAAGGAGCTAAAAGATCGACTACTTTAATTCCTGTTTCAAAAATGGATAATTGTGTATCTAACTGTATAAAGGCATGCGCATATCTATGAATAGGAGATGTTGTGCGAGTATCTACAGGACCCAAATTATCTATGGGTTCTCCAAGCACGTTGAAAATTCGACCTAGGGTTGCTCCGCCGACTGGAACACTTAGAGAAGCTCCTGTGTCAATCACTTCCATTCCTCTCTTTAGACCATCTGTAGCACTCATAGCTACAGCTCTAGCTCGATTATTTCCTAATAATCGCTTTACTTCACAAGTTACGCGAATTTGTTGGCCAACCGTATCTCGACCTTGAACTATCAGAGCGTTGTAAATATAAGGCATCTTCCCTGGTGGAAAAACTATATCGAGTACCGGACCGATTATTTGCGTAATACGCCCCAGATTTTTGTTTTCAAGTGCAGAAACCTCAGTATCAGAAGGGGGAGGATTTATTTTCATATTGAAAAATATCCTCTCTTTTTTTTGAAAAAAAAAAATTCAAATTAAGAAAAAAATGTTCGAGAACAACGCAAGTGGATTGATTCATTATTTGAATATTTAATAACAAATGAAATGTATTAATTCATATTTAATAAAATATTTAATATTTAATAATAAAAAAAATATGGAATAATAAATGTAATTTAATAATCGATTTTCACCATCTAATCAATTCAATTGTTTTCAAATTTCAATGATTTAATTTTTAAGGTCAACCCAGTCATCCAGATTGTAGACAATACTATCTATATTATCTATGGAATTCCAACCTGAACTTTGTTTATGATTTATACTGAGCATATTATTTATTTTTACCGATTTTTCTTTTTATTGGGCAAATTCTGCCGATTTTAACATCTAGGATTTACATATACAACATATATCACTGTCAAGGTCAAGAGTATATTTTTTATTTATTATTTAGATTCGAAAATTATATTCCAAAATTAAAAAAAAAAAATAAGAGATTCGAAAAAAACGGTTGGGTTGCGCCATACATATGAAAGAGTATAGAATAATGATGTATTTGCCAAATCAAATATCATGGTAAAATTTAACAATGACCCATTCGGATTAATTGATAATATTAGTTGATGGATCATTTGTAAAAAGGTTTGATTAACTCTTAAGTTATGTCGAGTAGACCTTGTCGTTGCTATAATTCAATTCTTAATTCATGCGTTGTAGGGGGGATTTATGTCACCACAAACAGAAACTAAAGCAAAGGTTGGGTTCAAAGCTGGTGTTAAAGATTATAAATTGACTTATTATACTTCTGACTATCAAACCAAAGATACTGATATCTTGGCAGCATTCCGAGTAACTCCTCAACCTGGAGTTCCGCCTGAAGAAGCAGGTGCAGCGGTAGCTGCAGAATCTTCCGCTGGTACATGGACAACTGTGTGGACCGATGGACTTACCAGCCTTGATCGTTATAAAGGACGCTGCTACGAGATCGAGCCTGTTCCTGGAGAAGATAATCAATTTATTGCTTATGTAGCTTATCCCTTAGACCTTTTTGAAGAAGGTTCTGTTACTAACATGTTTACCTCCATTGTAGGTAATGTATTTGGGTTCAAGGCCTTGCGCGCTTTACGTCTGGAAGATTTGCGAATCCCTAATGCTTATGTTAAAACTTTCCAAGGTCCTCCTCACGGAATCCAAGTTGAGAGAGATAAATTGAACAAGTATGGACGTCCCCTATTGGGATGTACTATAAAACCCAAATTGGGTTTATCAGCTAAGAATTATGGTAGAGCAGTTTATGAATGTCTCCGCGGGGGACTTGATTTTACCAAAGATGATGAAAATGTGAACTCCCAACCATTTATGCGTTGGAGAGACCGTTTCTTATTTTGTGCCGAAGCAATTTATAAATCACAGGCCGAAACAGGGGAAATCAAAGGACATTATTTGAATGCTTCTGCGGGTACATGTGAAGAAATGCTAAAAAGAGCTGTATTTGCTAGAGAATTGGGCGTTCCTATCGTAATGCATGACTACTTAACAGGTGGATTCACTGCAAATACTACCCTGTCTCACTATTGCCGCGATAATGGTCTACTTCTTCATATCCACCGTGCAATGCATGCAGTTATCGATAGACAAAAAAATCATGGTATGCACTTTCGTGTATTAGCTAAAGCCTTACGTTTGTCTGGTGGAGATCATATTCACGCTGGTACTGTAGTAGGTAAACTTGAAGGAGAAAGGGAGATTACTTTAGGTTTTATTGATTTACTACGTGATGATTATATTGAAAAAGATCGAAGTCGCGGTATTTATTTCACTCAGGATTGGGTTTCTTTACCAGGTGTTATCCCTGTTGCTTCAGGGGGTATTCACGTTTGGCATATGCCTGCTCTGACCGAGATATTTGGAGATGATTCTGTACTCCAATTCGGTGGAGGAACTTTAGGACACCCTTGGGGAAATGCACCTGGTGCCGTAGCGAATCGAGTAGCTCTGGAAGCATGTGTACAAGCTCGGAATGAGGGACGTGATCTTGCTCGCGAGGGTAATGCAATTATCCGTCAAGCTTGCAAATGGAGTCCTGAATTAGCTGCTGCTTGTGAAGTCTGGAAGGAAATCAAATTTGAATTCCCAGCAATGGATACTTTGTAATCCAGTAATAATAATTCGTGGTTGGGCTTTAAGAGGGCTTGACCTCTGATGTATGGAAGTACGAAGATTTCTTTCCATAACCCTATTTTCAAAAACTTTCTACATCTAGACCAAAAGTCCAATAGCACTCTTCAATTCTCTATTAGTCTCTTTAATCTTTTGTAGTGTCTCAAAGCTTCAAACCACAATCAATGTATTAAAACCTTTGCAAAATACATAGTAGACATAAAGAAATTGTTCTTTTTTCAAAAATCTCTTATGAATTTCGTAAATTTGAAATCTTTCCAATGTTTCTCTTCTGGGTTTTGATCATAATTTTATGGATACTTACTAATTTATATGATGAAGTGAATCATACTGGCGAAGATGAGACCAGAGCTTTCGGAAATGGTTAATCACAATCTTGATGAAACTGTTCAATGCATGTTATTCCGATGCCGAATCTAATTCCAATGATGTTAAAGATTCCAACATCTTCAACCACGAAACTAGATGGAATTCAATGCATGTTATTCCGATGTCGAATCTAATTCCAATGATGTTAAAGATTCCAACATCTTCAACGGCGAAACTAGATGGTGAAGACGCACCAAAGAAAGGAAGGAGGAGAGCATCAAACAGTGAATTTGTTTGTTTACTTGAACGAATACACTTTAACTTGTTTAGGACTTGTAATTATTTAAATGTAAAAAAAATGCCACATATTATTTTTGAAATGGAATTTTTAAAAAGGCCAAGCGCATATTTGGCAGCTTAAAGTATCAAGTTATTAAAAAAATTTTAAAGGACCAATCTATTACAGTAAAATAAATGACCTCTAGTGTAATTATGTCATTATATATAATATATTAAGGTGAAATCAAAGACTATAAAGAGTGTAATACATGCTTTAGTGAAACTTCAATCTTATTTTATAAATCAATACCATATAAGAAAAGAAAGAGAGTATTTGTTGTATGTTAGGATATGAATAAGTTGAGAAAAGGATAAACCTAAGAAAATAAATAAAAAAGGATCAAGTTTACCAAAATAGAAAATCAAAATAGAAAATGATGTATGAATTATATTATGAAATAAAATTGACAAAACGATAAAGAAAGTGGTAAATTGAGGAAGGGGATTAAGAAATAAAAGAGATTATGTTAAAAATATTTAAGATTGATTAGTCTCTTAAACTTAAGACTCTTTGAATTCTAAAAAACACAACGATTGCTTTCTATGCCTAACCATGTTAAAAATATTTTAAAATCCTAGTGGTCCATGGTTAAAAGACTGGAAAGAAAAGAGCAAGTGGTCCAAGGATTTGAAGTCCAAATCTAGGATAAATTTGTTAGGAGAATTTCTCATTGACATGCGAATACAAGGCATAAAGATTAGATTACAAACCAGTGATTTATTTTTTGGAAAATTCACCTTCGACCAGCGAATCCAGGAAAGAAATCTAGGTTACATAACAAGTCACTTTTGTTGGGCGAGACATGTTTCTCCCAGTGAATCAAAGGCGATTTGAAGTATACTTTGGCACGAAGAAATCCCAAAAGCTAATTTCTATGGGCGAGACATCCTTCTCCCAACAAATGAGGACAAATTCGAAAAGTTATAAATAGGGACTTTGTGTCATTGTGAAAATGTATAGTCTTAGAATTAGTTTTAATTTACTATATTATTGTACTTTTGTGTGTGAGATGTGTGTGTGTGTGTGTGTGTGTGTGCGCGCGCGTGTGTGTGTGTGTGTGTGTGTGAGAGAGAGAGAGAGAGAGAGAGAGAGAGAGAGAGAGAGAGAGAGAGAGAGAGAGAGAGAGTGAGAATGAGAGAGAGAGACATAGACAGAGAAAGCTTAAGTGTTTATCAAGTCAAATACTTGTCGATGAAGGGTCAAAAAAGGATTGCCAGATGATCGCGACTTTCTATGTCTAATACAACCTAACTGCAAGTGCACAGTCTATCGCGTAGTAATAATAGATATCGATCCCACAGGGACTCGTAATCAAACTAGTGTTCTCGGGAGTTACTATGTTTAGCTAGGTAGATAATGTTTAAGGGAATAAGATTTGTCACTAAAGGGAACTAAGAATGTTAATTAAAGTATAATTAATTGAATCGATATGCAGTAATTATGTTCTTCGGGGATTTGACGAGTTACCGGTGTATGAAATATTTTTCAGAGTTTATTTAAGCAGAAAATGGTGATCTGAAGACTCTCGCCTCACGATGGTTATTGATGCTAATCATAATTCTAAGGGCCAAACGTACACTTTCGTATCCCATTCGGGGTTAAAATTATTTTTTGGAAATCTCTAAGTTCTAATTCATTTTAAAGTGCTTTCGTTGTTATTAAAATGAATGACTAGTGTTTACTATCTGATCTTGCCGCAGCTTTCGCTTGTTGGTTCGTACCTTAATTAATTTCCCACTTTCGTGGCAAAACTACTTTTAAATAAGTTCTCGCTTTCGCGACGAAGTGTATTCAGTAAATTAATTTTAAACACTCAGACCATAAACGACCTTTGAAAAAGACAGTTTTCAACCGGTTATTATCAAATCCCTTTCGAATTATTACTACATATCGATTACTTTAATTTAGCCAGACATGGATTTGGGAAAGGTAAAACATAAATAAAAACAATAAATAATAGCATGCATCATAATAAAAACTGGAATTACGATTGAAATGAGAAACCTGTAAATATTCCAATTGACCTTTGGGCAGATCCTCCACAGATGTTGGCAGGATTCTGGTCTTTGTGCCAATTTGATCGTACAACGGAAATAAAAATTACAAAAGGAATGAAAGGAATGCAGAAAAAAAGAAAAGAGAAACAAATAAGAATATT